CAATGTTTTGCACAGGTCTAAAGTCTGCTACACTTCTGATCTGGACACCCAGTGAGCATGTTTCTTTTACAGTGCAGTATGACGAGGCGTTTGTGCGGGAGCTAGTAAAGCGCTTGAGAGGTTTTTACTTCTCACGTATGCTACCTCGGCTTGTAGAGGAATATGCTGCAGGACGGCTTAAGCTAAATGAAAGATACATTGAAATAATGGGCAAGGTTTAGTGCACATCTGCACATGTGGCATGAACATTAATGTGTGCCATACATTAAGCGAATAGGGACGACATTCATAGTGAAAATGATGATAGCTGTTTGCCAAAGCTCAAAATCCACAACCCAAAGATGATTAGTTTACTGTCATAGAGGACAAAGGAAACCATAAAATATTCACATTTAAGAAGCTGGAATCAGATAATTTGGACATTTTTTCTTTAAAAAAATATTTATTATCAATTGTCAAAATAGTTAGGGATTAATTTAATACTTGACAACTAATCGATTAATTGTGGCAGCTTTACATTAACGGTGACAAGAATGAATTGTTACTGATAGCACTAAATGTACATAGTTTATATTATGCAAATGAAATGCATGAGTATTTGCATTCTGTACAACAGAGTTTAAACAAATTCAAAGTAACATTAAAGGTGACATGGATTCATTGTTTTAAGTGATGACACTAAATGTATACAGTTTATACATTGTAAAATGAAATGCAAAAATATTCACATTCTGTACAAAATAACAAACATGCAAAGAATGTTCACATTAAATCCATAACTCCCTACATGTTTTGTACCCATCCATCTTTCAACTATTACAGCACCATTTCATTTGACAGTCCTTTACAATGTCCTTAATAGCCCTGTAAAAGTAGTCCGCACATGTTGATTTCATGCTGATTTATTTCTAATCACGAATGAGATCCTCCCTTAAATTGGCAAGAGCAGCACATATTCTTAAAATCTTGTCTGTTTTAGGAGCCATGCTGATCGGAACAACCTGTGATAATATTTTGTATACTTTCAAACGTCTGATTGCTCTTTCAACATGAATTCTTACATGTGCAATTCGCCTGGTGCTTGTCACCTGTTCCTCAGTTAGTTGTCCACGTTTTTTTATAAAAGAAGGCATTACCAATTTTACTTTTCTCTCAAACAGCAAATCTTTTATGGTAAAGCCTCTGTCCGCCATTACCTCATCTCCAGGCATTAAGTAGTCCAATATGCCTGAGTCCATGGTGATGAATTTGTCACTGCATCGCCCTCCATATGCTGGAGAAATGAACATAATTAGTCCACATGGGGCAACCGCTACCAGGTATTTCACTGTGTTATGTGAATAATAATGGCTGTATGATTCCCCTCTTGAATCAAGATTTTTGGGTTTCTGTAAGAGGCTTTCACTGCAGTCCACAATGCATGTTGTATTAGGGAAGTTACTCTTAAAAGCTGCAGGCATGGTTGCACGAATAGTTTCTTTTGGAAGCCATGGAATTAGAGGTCGCAAAACTTCCTCTAGTTTGTCAATCCAATATGAGATTATTTTGCTAGCCATGCTCAGTGATACATGAAACTGTCTACTCAGATCACCTACTACACGGTTGGTCTTTAATTTCATAAGTGTCATGAGAAATTGATCTCGAACAGACATTGTAAATGAATTATTGGCATACCCTTCCAAAGCTGACACAAGAATGTTAAATGTTTCTTGGGATATACCAGTGTAGAGCAAAGCATCAGCATCATTTTGAAGCAGGAAGTAGCCAATCTCATCACACTGAGTCATCTTATCCTGCACGTCTTTTCTGCTGGCCGTCTGGCAATAATCATGATCCTGTCGTGCAGGGTCCGCCCACTGTGTATGGACCGAGCGCATCTGTGGTTCAGGGGGATGTGCAGGACTTGAGCTCCTGGTCTGGTCTGAGGCAGCTGAAGAGAAGTCAGGTGTACAGTCTGAAAAACACAAAAGTATGGCTAAGTTACACACTAGTAACATGTCAAAAACAGAGACACGCACATCCCAATGTCCATTAGGCTGGGTGCTGGATACATATGGAAGTCATAGATAAAACGAAAAAGCATTTTTTCGTTTTATATAAGTTACACACTAGGATAGTAACCACTGTAGACAAGCAAGTATAACATGTCACATGTTGAACCCAGTAGAGGGCATTGCATTAAACATTTTACCTAAGTAAAAGTACAAAAGTATTGGCATCAAAATAAACTGGTCTTGAAGTACCAAATGTAAAAATACTCATGCAGAATTGCCCATTTCATAATCATACCATTGGACTGTAATTAGTAATGCATAAATTTGTTCATAAATTTAATGGTGCAGCTGGTAAAGGTGGGCTGAATTTTATTACTTTATATGCTGCTGGGTAGCTTAACCTATAACAATACATCATAATTTACCAGTTAATGTATGTTTTGTATTGATAATTAAATCTGCAAGGTAACTAGTAACTAAAGCTGTAGTGGAGTAAAATGTACAATGTTTTGCCTCTGAGATGTACTGTTAGTGAAGTGGAAGTATAAATTATAAAAAAAAATGGAAATAAAAAGTAAATGTACCTCGAAATTGTACCTAAGTACAATTGTAATTCATGCTGTTAATGTTACCATCCATTGGTTGAAGTTATAATTACGTTTACCTGTTTGAGATTAACAGCTGTAACATAAGTGAATAATTTAAGTATTGTTTGTTTTACTTGTAAGTTCTCTGCTACAGAACCACACACAATATATGTAAAACAGAAAATAACAATATATGTAAAACAAGAAATAACTTACCAGGTCCATATTGTTGTTGTTGTTGCTGCTG